ATAAATTTTCATACTATTTTTTAGATCATCATATCTAATTTCAGTAATTCTGATCATCTGGAGATGATTGTAGAAGCATACAATACTCAATTTAGAAAAGAAAGCTATTGAAATATCTGTAATCTATCGCACGTGTAGTTTCGCGAATCAAAGATGGGCAATTATTTTAATATTTTAAATTTTGTCAATTCTATAACATTGAAATACTTGCGAAAAACATTCATCCATTTCTGTTATCGATTCTGATCACTCTTTGTTGAAATATTTAAAAGTTTTTCACTACATAACCATTTGTCTCTCTGCAAATAAATGTTCTAATAGCCTTCAAAAGTTGGATTCTAAGCATTGTCTTTACAAGGATTCAAATAGATCAAATCAAAGACGACTACGTTGAAACACAGGAATTTTTTGAAAAAAATCTAAGATATCTATAAGAAGATACATAGTCGCAACTAGGTACGATGGTTTTTGTGCTGAGGAAAATTTAATAACGTGAAAAAATTATTTTTGTGCTCATGTTCACTCTAAATAATTCATTTACATTTGGCTTTTTTAAGACATTCGTCCTATACAGTATGATGCTGTGTCTGTCATTTGCTTTATGTGTAAACAACTTACTCTGTTAATTATCACATGTTTCCGAAAAATTTTTAAATATAGTTCGATCTCATTGTTGTGCAGCATAATTTTTGAATTTGATTGATGCTTGCTAGTGTTTTCGCTCTGACTCAAGTAAATAATATCTCTCTATTACACCTGTTATATTAGTGGTGACTTTTAAAAAGAAAGAGAGAGAAAGACAATTGAATTATAAGCACAAAAAGTTTGTCAATGTCTTAAAATATATTCTGTATTCAATATCATGCACTAAAATGTAAAGTGCATTAGAAATAGATATAGGAGCGCAGAAGCAAATATATGTTTCTTTTCTTTTGTATTTTTCTTCATCGAATTGATATTTTGATTTATTTCTGTAGGTGTGTGAGCATCAAAATTAATAAGTCATCCTAAAAAACATGACGAGAGATTATAAAATAAAATTTATTGTACGCTATTTGCAGTTTATATGATTTAGTACTTTGTCTAGAAACAATGACAATGTGAACCGCTATTTTTTAATGAATTAAAAGAAGTTAAGGTTATGAGATACAACAAGATTAATTGTTTTAGACAAAAAATATTTCTGTTAGAAAGAAACCAAATAATTTCGATGTAATCAGTAATGGAAAGCAGTAAATGGAAAGTGCTATACTGTTACTATGTGATTTGAGTGAGAAGAAACTATACATGGTTGTGTAATCCTAGATTTAGAGCATCGGTTTTAAATGAAAAGTGATCTTTCTAAATACACATAAACACGCATATTTCATAATCCTATGGTTCGTTTAACTCATCACAACTGTTGTACGGATTGGCTGTATAACCATTCTGTCAATCTACTTCTAATAGTTTCTTAAACATAAGATTTCCTGGAAGTTTTGAGAAATAAATTCAATAAAAAATAAACGTGCGAGGGTAAATCGAGATTTTTTTCAACCCCACGAGGAGAACAAAATGTATGTCCTATTGCTGCACTTAGGATTAAATTCCATTTTGTTAGAAACGAAATCCTCGTATATTCTCCTCTTTATATTATGCTTTTCAAAGGACTATGTTTAGTGAAATTTAATAGGAAATGAAGAAGAGAAAAAGAAAAACAGAAAAGAAAAGCATATTACTATCACATAGTAGCATTATTGCATTATTATGTTCTAAACAGGAATATGAATGGTCTCATAATTAAAAAGGAAAACTATATAATTAGGACATTTTTATTGTAATCACAACACCATATCACGGCAATAGAAGAAGACTTATGTATGAGTACAATAGTGAAAATGAACAAATGAAGGAAAAACACGTTGTATTTGTTTTTGATTGAAAAAATTCAACAAAAAATTAATTGCCGTTGTTAATCGTTGGACTAATGATGTATTTACCGACAAAATCTCTAAATAATTATTTAAACAATGGAGAAAGAAAATGAAAGAGAGAGAGAGTTTTAAGTTGCAATTATTCAATAATTATATGATGATCGACGTAGTTAAACAACGTCGACAAAAACGTGTGTATAAATATTTAGCGATTATATATAAAAAGTACACAATAAATTTGACGTTGTTTACGGTTCACGTGAGTTGAAAACAGTTGATATACATTATTTAAAATTCATCACTAATGTTATGAACATTAGTTGATTAAACATACAAACTAAAACTATAGTTTTAATTGAGTAATACTGAATTAGATTTGGCTACAACAATGGATATTAATACATATATGTTGCAGGCAAACTTAAATTTGAGTTTTACCTGAATATAATTAAACAAAATTAAATGTTGGCATCATCTAAGAATATTTCTGACTTCAGTCGACTGAAGTCAGGAATATTCTTAGATGATGCCAACGTTTAATTTTGTTTAATTATATTCAGACAAAACTCAAAATTTAAATAAAACTTTAAATTTAAGTTTTGCCTAGTCAAAACTTAAATTGGAGTTTTGCCCAAGTAAATTTAAAATATGCCTGAAGTTTAAGTTTTGCCTACTACATATACCGATACTTTCCTTCATACTATAAAGAAGAAAGAATAAAACGGCTAGTTTCTAACTCTAATAAATAGATCGTCGTATTCGAAGGGCGTTATTTTTACAACAAGTTTTGTGTGATTTTTCAAACAGGTATTTAATTAGAATCAAATGAAATTAGCTTTGTACTATATTTCAACTTAATTTGTCGTAGACTATAAGATAAAATTTGTTTAAGTAATAATCTTACAGCAGTGAAATGTAATACATGAAGATAAATGTTCCCTTTGGCTCAGATTGAGCTGACTTCAAAAAAATTTTATCTATAGATAAGTTCATTTTTTCGGGCAAGAATATATATTTTGTTGAATACCCTGTATAGTGAGTGAATTTAGATTCAAGAATAAATTTTTTTCTTGTTTCATATACATTAGGAAAGGTCTAGATTGCCTCTAGTCAAAATTTCAAAGTGTCATATAAAATAGTTGTTGGATGAGTAGAACAGTAACAAAGAAAATGTCTTTTTTTTTATATATTATACCAAATAAAAATCAAGCCAGGCTATTAAGTTAGTTTCATTGCCAATGGCACAGTATATATCAGAAACTGAGAAAATTAAAGTCGGTTTTTTATTGATGAAAGTATTGTAAGTGGAATAAAAATATTTTTATGAACATCATACCAAATTCTCTAATGTATCATAATGTGTTTCTAAAAAATAGTGCCTGCAATATCTTTTTGTTAGCTACTATTATTAATGATCATAAAAATGAGCAAAGACGATGGTAAAAAAATACCAATAACCTCATTTATAAACAGTTAATTAGTTCTGTGAATTTTGTGTACAAAAATCACACAATCTTTTCTCTATACTTGTTACGAAACAAATTTTAAATATAATTTTTCTTCAATCTTGACGTTTGATTCTGTTGTTTTGTTTTTTCTTTAGAAAATGAGTCTCAATTAAAAGCGGAAGGATGTTTCACTTTTTTTCTTTCTACTCATTTTTTTTCCTCTATTAAAACAACAGCAATTAGATGCTAATGATTGAAATTTTACTAATGAAGAAAGACGTATTACTTAAGGCAACAAATAATTTTTTTCAACAATAAACAAAACATTGTCTATAATACGTTTTCTTTTTTTATTATGTACTATCTAGCTTTGAAAAACTCAATCAAAATAGAAAATATTCCATATTCGAGAACAATCACATGTTGAAAATATTTTTTTCATCAGATGAATGGACAGAAAATGGTGTTTGAGTAACCCAGTGTCTGTCTGAATATTAAAAGAATTCATTTTTAAAAAAAATAAAATGAAAGAGAGGACCTTATTTGAAGAAAAAGTAGCAAAATTCTAGTGAAAGAATAATCTGAATATTTTTTGTATTTTTGATCATAATATTACATCCGTGAGGTCACTTTAAACACAACATTACGCTAATTTGTAATTAAAACCTATCGGTTTTATTGAAAAATGTTCTATAATTTAATTTCAGATTGTATTGTTTTGAAGACCTTATTAACATTTTTGTTTCAAGAAATTGAACAATAGTCGTACTGGTTATTATTATTATTATTATGATATATTCTCAAAAATCAACGCTTTACAGTGATCTCTAGTCATTTTTTTTCTCTAAACAATAATCTTCTCTCCTATTAACGTGTTTCCAATTGATTTTGTATTATATCTAACATAAAGTTCTGATACATAGACAAATTTCTTTTTTAATTATCCAGTTTTTATTAAAATAAAAAAACAGGAAGAATAACACAAACAACTACTTTCTTTTATCTTATTTTTCCCTTCTTCTTTATCGTATCTTTCGTTTTTTCTTTCATTTTTTCTTGATTCTTTCTTTCTCTCATGTTTAATCATAATGATCTAATTGGTAGCCGTGATGTTGGTCTTTCATTCTTATATCGTTCACATAAAAAAGGTTTACACAGAAATAGTTCACCAGCAGTATATTATTCATTATCATTATTGCCAATGCCTTATTTATCGAAAAACAATCGTTCAACACACTCTAATTTTCAAATTATGTTATACAATTTTCTTGAGAGACCCGTTGGTTTCAGATGTTTTTTCTACCATTTTACCGTGTAAGTAAACTATTTTTATTTTTAATTTAACTTTAATACTTGCAATATAATAATGATTTTACAGTATTGAGTAAAATCAACGTCAGAATGTTTGAGCAATTTGTTTTCGATATAAATATTTTTGGAAGTCTGGATCAAAATTTTGCAATAGTATAGTTCGTAGTAGTTGTATATAGGTATGTTTTTTCTTTTCAATTGTGGTTTTGTTCATAAATATAAAGTTTTAAATTAAAGACATATCGTGTCGTGTGAGAGATTGCTATTAAAAGAAATTTGATTAACAATAATCTTTTCTGAGAACTCAACATCGTAATAGACTCTTAAAATGTCAAAAGTAGAAATTTAAGATGAATGATGAATAATTATGGGGTTTTTAGACAGTTCACATTAGAGTAAATATTTTGCTGGTGATAGCGTAATCAATGCGATTGTTTTTCAGCTGTAAAATGTATTTAAATCAGATCGCATGTAGAGAGATTTTGTCTATCTTTTATCATAAGTTTATGACCGAAAAATGTCATTCTTAACAAACAACAACTAACGGATATATTTTGGATTATGATTGATTACAGTTCTGGAAGTGACTGTTAATTAGTCGTTATTGATATTAAAATAGTCAGTAATTATTATGTTCGAATAAACTAGTAGCTTATATCATATCCCAGAAATTCTATACATACAATTGAAGAAGCAAAAGTTGCTTACTTAAGGGTACCCCTCTCCCCTTTTTGGACTTTCCGTAGAAATGCTGAGAAATAAAAACTAAAAGTCACTAAGGCTTCATATATTCAGAATTGATTGGAAACGCAATGAAAAACATGTTTTCGTTTTTGTTTCAAGCTTTTAAGTATGGCCATTCACGAGTTTTCAGAAAACGCAGTTTTTCATTGTGTCACATTATGATCCTCCTTAAATTTCATCCAATCGAGTTAAATATTTTACGAGAGGTACTCAAGGTCATATCGCAGAGGTATTTTTGGGGAAATTTTCTTAAGACCTTTCCTAATCGAGACAAAAAAATAGTTTTCGAGAAAAAACGCATTTTGTACACAGTGCACATTTTTCAGAGCATTTGCCGCGATGCTTATATCTTCACAAAAACTCATCAGAAAATTCTGGAAGACGTCTCATTATGAAGAAAGTACTTTCTTCTATCAGACTATGTGTAAGCAAAATTTTGAATGTACGGAAAAGGAAAGTTTATGAAACTAAAAAATTGAGTTTTGTAGGCTTTAAAGAAAAAACTTCAAAAATTTTTGAAGAAAGGTCGTGGAGTACTGGGAATGATCTGATTTTGTAGCCCACACGTTCCTCTACATTAGATTATGCTCCGCTTAAAATTCGAAAGTTTTTCAAAAAACAGAGGATTTAAACATGTCAACTTCATTTAATTAGAAAGTCGTTTAGTTTCCACACTTATCGGAAGATCAAAGAAATTCTTGAAGCTTTATACAAAAGAATTGAGATTGCAAAACTTAAAAATTCTCATACCACACGATCTACTCAAAGGGTAGTGTATTTAGTGAATTTGCAATAAATGGTGCATATTAAACAATAGACACTAGCGAACAATCATTCATCTAAGTGTCTTTAATATTACGCATCCTAAAATAGAATGAACTCCCTCAATTGATGAACAACTTTTGATTTGAATATGCCTTTGATTCTGCGATTTTTGACGAGATAATCTTGACATCATATTCTGTCTCCTAACTAATGTGCAGAGTACAATAAAAAAATTCAGATCTCAATCAAAATCGATGAAATTGAGATCAAAATTTAACACTACAACAATATTTATTAGCAGTCATTGATAGTAGAAGACTAAATTACGTTTTAGATTAACAGATTTTTCCAGGCATTTACTCGAAAATTCTCTGGAGAAAAAAAATGCGTAACCCGAATCTTTGAATGAAATTAGCTACAATTATCACCATAATTGGATACTCACGATTTTGAATGAGTAATGATATTTTTATTATGGTGTGCACATTAGACAGAATATGTTGCCAAGGTTATCTTGTTTAAAAATCGCAAAATCATAGATTCGAGCAAAATTTCGGCATCCTGTAATTCTTCGAAAAGCGTTACAGCTTGTGCAGACTTGTACAAGAAACTTTTAGGCTATCTGACTGTGTCATCGGAGTTAAAAGAGTAATAGGGATGCTGGAAATCTAAATCATATGTTTAAAAAACTGTTAATTATGCGAGCTGAAACGTTCTTTTCACATGAGACAGTGTTTCAAAATGTCTGTTTTGCAAAGATTACAGATTACTAGCATATTCCAACCGAAAATCATTGATTAATCATGCGAATTTATTCGATGTTGGAATGCCTTAGTACTGCTTTGAAAAACAAATTTTACTCTTTCTTTTTTTCAGTTTTGTGGTGGTATTGGTTTGTTTGGTGCTTAGCGTTATTTCAACAATCGAAAAATTTGCGTTGAAAATCAGTCTTTATGTCTATTGGATTGAAATATTTTTAGTTATATTTTTTGGTACAGAATATCTATTAAGACTGTGGTCAGCTGGTTGTCGAAGTAAATACATGGGGATTTATGGTCGATTTCGTTTTGCCAAAAAGCCTATTGCAGTTATAGGTATGTAGATATTACTCTTAGTCATCAATACGATCCGATATAGGATAATGTTTTCTTTGCTTTCTTTAGATTTGTTTGTTGTTATTGCTTCTACACTTATGATTGCATTTGCTAATGATAAACAGGCATTTGCAGCGTCCGCAATAAGGTATGTATCAAACAGAGTCATAGTAGTCAAGTAGAGAACGCAGCACAAAAGACTATAAAAACTTATCGTAACTATTTATCTTCTTGTACAGAGGTGTTAGATTTCTTCAAATTTTGCGAGTATTACATGTTGATCGTCACGGTGGTACATGGAGATTACTCGGAAGTGTTGTTTATATTCATCGACAGGTTAGTGTTTTCGATACACTTTCTTCTACTCTTTTCGTAATAGCTCATCTGATTATACTAGGAATTAATAACAACGTTGTATATTGGATTTTTGGCTCTAATATTTTGTTCTTATCTTGTGTATATAGCAGAAAAAGATGAAAAAAAGGGAGGTGAAATGCGAGGCGTTAAAGCCAATGACAGTCATTTCGAAAGTTATGCTGATGCACTATGGTGGGGAGTAGTAAGTGTCGATAGATAATGCATATTGTGAAAAGATGATAGGTCATAATGTTCATTTTAGATCACAATAACAACTATTGGGTAAGTTTAATTTAAATACATGGCAAATACACATATTCACCTTTATTTACAGGTACGGTGATGTCTATCCTGTCACATGGTAAGTTGAATGTCTTTTAAAAGTCTCATATTTGTGTCACATTATATGCTTATTTTTTTACTATAGGGTGGGAAAAATCATTGCTTCTTTTTTTGCCATTTTTGCCATTTCATTTTTTGCATTACCAGCGGTGAGATGATAAAAACAAACTGAAACATATATTAATATAAACTTGATGTCTGTCATTATGTAGGGTATCCTCGGTTCTGGTTTTGCACTCAAAGTTCAACAAAAACAACGACAAAAACATTTCAGCCGTCAGATCCCAGCTGCAGCAACTTTAATACAAGCGGCTTGGCGAGTCTACGCATCAGCTTCGGACAGCAATTGTGTTGCCACATGGAATATTTATCTGCGTGCGAATCCTAACGTTGTCAATCAAACTTTCACCCAAAACAATCACACTTTTGCGGGTATATCAAAGAATCAATTACTGAGATGTATGCATAATAGCGTTCTATCTCTCTTTCTTTAGGAAGAACGGCAGAAAAATTAAGATATCTACGTTTATCTGGCTCAAGTAGAAAAAGTCGATCGAAACGCGGAAGTCAAGCCCCAAGTCCAAATTGTTTACAGTCACCAGTAGCAGGGGATGGACGTAGCTCCAGTTCATCAGCGTCGAATACCACAGGTAAGTTGATCAAGTCGCGTAACTCAAGATGGATTGTTTCTGCTTACTTCGTCTCTATTACATTTATCTATTATTACATATTGTTTAGCAAAGATGCAAAAGAAACTAATCGCATATTTTATCTTTTATTTCAAAGTCTGTTTCTATGTTCGACTGCTCAGAGATTCGCACGTATATTACAGACCTTGAGTGATGGCCGGATATTCGAAGTTTTGCAAATCTTATTCGCATGAGAACACTCGCTTCGAATTGTAAAAGCGTTTATAATCTGGAATAATAAAGCAACCGGAAAACATTAAATCAATGAGAATTAATAGGAAAAAAATTGAAGATATAATTTATTCTTTCACGAAATAGTTTTTCATCAAAGTATGTGTAATGAATGTCAGTAATGCAACTTCCATGTCATCATAATCGTAAAGAAATGGCCGATTAAGGGCAACCAATAAGTCGATTTATCGTGCACTGTCACGATTTAAGCTGAATGTTTTTCTGATTAATTGACAATTTTTTTAAAATCGCGATTAAGTGTTAAGCTTCATGAGAGCTTTTTTCAATTTTCAGGTTGTATTTTGAGATCTTTTATTATTTATACTCTTAAATAAGTAAGTTCTAGAAATTAGGAGACATCTCATTTTGAAAACACCTCAGTCTATCTAATTTTGTCATTAAAATTATTTCATCCCTCACAGAAATAACAGAGAAGTGTTTTTACCAGTCCTGTTTTATAAGACATTTAATTTCATATAAAGAAATATCGAACTAGGTTGAAAAAATTATCATTTTAAACCAGAATAGGAATGTGAGTGCCCTAAAGAATTTTTATTATACATTGTTGATATGTCTCTTACAACATCGTAAAATTGCTTGTAGATTCTTATTTTCCAGGATGTTATATTGCACCTGCTGACCATGAAGAAGAAGAAGAACAAGAACCGGAAGAAGAGACACCATTAAGATATCACAAACTATGGACATTAACAGATGACCATAAAAGAGTGATCAGAGCGATACGAAAAATGCAACTCGTTGTAGCCAGAAAACGATTTCAGGCAAGTAAATTATTAGTTGTAATCTTTGTGAGTGAAAAATCTGTTCTGTTTTTCGTTGTAGCAAGCTCGGAAGCCATATGATGTGCGCGATGGTAAGGTTCTTTACGTAGTTTATTGTTCTAAGAAAATTTGATTGATATTTTCATTTGTTTTCTCTCTAGTACTTGAACAATACTCACATGGACATATCAACATGATGATGAGAATAAAAGAATTGCAACGCAGGTATGAATAAATACGTAAAGCTCGCTGACAATCAGGACAGTTCGACAAACAAGTTATGAACAATCTAAAATTATAATCACACAACTCAGAAAATAGCCACTTTGAGTTAGTTTAATCATGATACTTTTAGATTAGAACACTCAATTGGTAAACAACCACCAATTATCGGAAGTGACACATCTGAAAGAGATCGATCAAAACTAACGGTATTATCTCGGATGACTCGTATAGAAGCTAATGTGGTAGAAATGGGGCAAACATTACAGAATATTGTTCAACTTCTCCAGAATATTGATGAAAAACTAAATGAAGCACTATCATCGCCGCCACGGATAATATATGGACGCACGGAACCGCTACATTCAGATGGTACATTTGCTTCAGTAGATGATGAAATACCGTAACCGTCGAATATCTGTTGAAAGTAAATTTGTTAGGTGTCAAAGAGGAAAGCTACACAACGCAAAAAAGCCATGAAGTGGTCTGTTATAGTTTTGATTAATAAAGATCTGAATCACTTCTGTACCGTGGTGAGTTCTATTGTAGGTTTTATCGATAATATATCGACTGATCGATTATGTTTTACTAAAATAGAGCGATCATAACTTTTTTCATTCCATTTCTATTTTTATACTACTATTTTCTCACATATTTGTATTGTTGTCGTTTTGGCGAGTTAAAACTATGAAGAATATACATTTGCCGTTAATAAGTGTTATGAGTAGAACCCACACAGAGTAAGATGTGGCTCTTACACATATCAGCATATAAGTTCAACGACTTTTCTCTGCTCCCGGTCTATCAAGTGAAAGTGCAATGACGCCGTTCGAGAGCACTTTTGCCGATAATTGCACCATGCCTGCCTTATTTTCGCTGAGATCAAATATGTTCTGGATGGTTTTAGAGTCCAATGCATTTGGACGATAGCATTTATGCCTCCCATGAAGTCCAAACATAAAAAGTACATTTCGTGACTTTGGTGAATTCCATAAAATCAAAATCACGGCATTACTTTCATTACTTTTACATCAGTTTCACTATAATCGATTGAAATCCAGATTTTGTTCCACTTTAATCTGATTATATCCATGGGATTTTTGAATTATAATCGAATTTTAATCGCAACATTTTTCTCTTGGTCGATGAAACGAACGGAATTTATAATAAAACGAAAAGCTTCAACAAGACGTGGTGTGTAAGATATTTATCAAAAAACTCAGATGATAACTCAGAACGAGCATTATTGACAGTATATAAAAGCTTCGTGCGTTTGGTATTATCATACGTATCACCAATACCTTCGATTGTAGATCAAAACTATTGAAAAAAATGACTAATAATCCAAGACAAAGGTTTGAGACATGCACTAAGAGTACCATTTTACACCTCGGGTACGTAGGTACACCAACACCTTTAGCAAGAAACTATTTTTGATTATTTCAAACGACAAACACCAAACTATTTAAACAGGTGCATAACTCAAGGAAACACACGAATAATACAAATATTTGTTGAAACAATACTATACAAATGTACAATTAAATTACGCCTAATAGTACGCTGCCGATTATTGAGTACAATTAAAAAGAACAGAAAAAGAAGTAAAACATTCGTTACAATCTGTTGTCTTTGTGCACAAATTATTTAAGGCAAAAGACCACGGTCAACAGCCTGTTGTCAGTTTATTATTTTAATAAACTTTCCTAAACAACTTCTCAATCATAACCGTTATTTGGTTTCCTGTTCATCTTTGCTTTTGAGATCCCCTATATGTATAAGCGCATGCTTCTCTAAACCCCATGCACATATATTATCTAAATATAATTGATTGGTTATATGAAAAACCTAAAGCTAATCCTTCTTCACACAATTGCATAGATGCGTCATCATCATAGTAACTGTAGGATTTGTGTTGCAACTCTGCCCCTAGTAGCTGAAGAATCACCTGGAAATCAAGCTCCTCGATTTGAGCTTGATGTACTCTCTAAAAAAAATCCGTAGCTTACAAAACGAATATCGGTTTTGGCATTTGCTCCTAATAGAAACCGATATCCGTATCGTACAGTCCTGCATAACCGTTTCGCAGAATACGCTTCAACGTTTTT